CTTTCGGAGGCGGCCGGGCTCCGGATTCGCGGGGAGCAGGCTGGGAAGCGCTTCCGAGCCCCGTTCCTCGCTTGCATCGGGGCTGGCGGGGAGAAGGGAGGTCCTGGGATCGCCTCCCACCGGCCGGGCAGCCACGTGAGCACCTTGCCCCGAAGCGGGCTGCAGCCTTGGCCCCAGCAGCAGCAGCTGCAACAGCGCTTCCCCAAACCCATCGGGCTCAGCCACGGGGCCCTGGCTGTGCAACTCTGGCCCTGCTCCAGGGCGGCCGAGGGAGGGCATCCGTTAGAGCAGGTCCCTCTTGCCTCCTGGCATTCTTGAACAGGGGTCTCCCCAGCCCTGGTCAGCCCCGCAGTGGATGTTGGGAGGATCCTGAGAGTCTAAGCCGGGGTCCAGGGGACTCAGGGCCCCCGGGCGTGATGCGGCACTATCATCTGCCCCTTCCGAGGAATCCCAGGGGCCAGCGGCCTTTCCCAGGGTCCCAAGGAAGGCCTGGGCCAGGAACAGAAGCGGCCCAGAGCCTCAGGGTGGGCTGAGGTGGGGATGGGCCAGCTTCTCCTGCCACAAGCCTTGAAGCCCTGCAGGGAAGCCCAGAGCTCAAGACTGCAGGAGCCCCAGGAGTGCGCAGAGGCACGCTGAGACCTCTCCCTCCTCCTGCCTGTGAGAACGCACTGCTGGACAGAAGTGAAGTGCCAGCCTCCCAGTAGCTGAAGGCCGCCAGTGAGGGCCTTGGCTCCTTCAGGTGCTCCGAGGGGCTGTCATAGCCACCTCCTTTGTCTGTTTTCAAGGCTAAATGTGTCCAGTTCCCTGGATCCAGCTGGTTGACGCCCTCTGGAAAAAAAGAAATGGACCGGAGGCAGCACCTCGACTTCACAAGCATCATCAGCTGCACGGCGGTTGGTGCTGGCTCTTCCCATGGTGGGTGACTTGAATTTCAGCCAGGGAGATCGCCAGCTGTCACTCCACAGCATCGCATGGAGGGCCTCTGTGGACAGTGCCACAGTATGGCCCATTTGGGATGCGCATTAAGGGCACACTGCAAGGCAGAGTTATTCTGACGTGGGATGGGAAGAAAGCATGCGAGGATGAGTCCTCAGTCTCTCCCTGCAGAATTGGTTTGCACGCACCTGCTCGAGTTTCTTTGGATCATTCTTGAAATGTGGTGCCCTGAATTGGATACATAATTTGAGGAACGGTCTGATCAGTGTAGAATGGACTGGAACAATAACTTCCCCTGATTTGGAAGTTGTTCTTCTGCTACCTTGATGCTTCCACAGATGCGTCTGAAACGGCATTTGCCTGTGGTGCATTTGCCTGCTGACTCGTATTCCGTCCATGATCTTTTACATCATTTTGAATTTTGCTCGCCTTGTAGGACGTTAGCAGTCTTATTCAGCTGTGCGCCCTTCCACTTCTTTCACCCACGTCATGAATGAAAATGTGGAAGAATTCAGGGCCAAGAACTGAATCTTGTGCCCGCCCTCGATTCCTTCCTCCAGCTCAATGAGGAACTCGTGAAGGACACTCCCTGATCACAGTCAAGGGATTTGTTTGAGCAACAATGAGCAGCCCTTCCCATTCCTAAAGTTGCACTGTGACTTTAGTGGGAGTCATCTGAAAATTCAGACATGGACTTCTGCAAGGAGTCAGTGACAAAACACATATCACAGTGTCATCACTTAAATGATGTGAATTTTGTAACAGCATAGGAATCTCCAGGTTAGTGCACAGCCCTAGATCCTGATTGGTACCACAGAATACCACCGCTTTTGTGATAACTTAGGGCCCTGCTTCCTCATAACTTGTCCCTTCAAGTATCTTTACTACCTGATAAGAAAACTGTTGGCTGCTTCTTCATCAATCTGGAGAGCAAACACAGCATCGATAAAGCTCACACAAGAAAATGAAGTTCAGTCCAGAGGAGATTGTGATGGTGCTGACTCATAGAAATTCAACTTGTGCATGGAATTGGACGGAGCCCTCCGAATGCCCTGAAAGAGCAGGTCCATTGGCTGGAAGTGATTCTCGTTCCTCAGCTGTCACTAGGGTCATAGGGGGTTCCTACAGTAAGGAGCGCATTTGCACAGTGAGTGTGGATGGCTGAGACTGTTCCCGAGGTGGTTGCATCTCCTGTAGCATGCTCTGGAAAATTATATGAAAGTTGCAATTGATATAAAGTATTGATAACAGCTAGACTGTGAACTCAAGAAAACAGGATTCAATGGAAAGCTCTGCCTCGGTTGCCAGTTACCCTCCAGGCACAATTTTAGGTGTCGCTGTTGCTGTCCAAAGCCCTACATGGCCTACAGCCTGATCTGGGAGACCATCTTGTCAGTCAGAAGATGCTCCTGTTTAAGAGGATTGTCTGCCAGGCTCTGAAAAGCAGAGCCTCCGGAGTTGCGTGTGGGCTTCTCTCTCTGCCCGTAGGACGTCTTTCACCAGGCCTTACAGGTCAAGGATGCTATTATCCATGTGCCACCTTTTCCTTTGTTTTAACCTATTAACTACATCAAGGGTTCATTTTGAGCAAAAAGGCAGCAGGTAAATCAAGTAAGGAAATAAAATAACGCTGCCGTTTTGGTGGCTAAAGAGCTTCCTTCGTGACCTGTTCGACTGAGAAATCTTCCACCAGCTACCCAGGTTTGAGCGCTCGCTGGCTCTCACCTTCTCATGGCCCTGGAATGTGTCGTTTTTTCCCTGCTAGTTGGACTGGTTTGGCAGCATTACTCTACTCTAGAAAAGAGCAGGGAGACCTAACTCTTTACTGTTTAAGACGAATTCTGTTCAGTGGCGTTTAGGGCACCTGGGAGTACACACAACAGCAAAACAGGAGAGGAGGATTATTTTATCTGTCATTTGCTTTTTCAGGCCCTTGCGTGCCCAAGGAACCGCCAGCTGCTCTGCTTGGCATTCTGGGTTAGCGGCGAACCGCCAGCATGTCCTGATGGCTCCTCCTGCCTGTGGGCTGAAACATCCAGGAGCTGCTGTGGCTTGTTTATTGTGTCTTACTATGAACTATGAACTCCCAACCACGATGCCTCCCAAGTTATTAAGGGTTTTAAACTTGATGCACCACTGAACCGAAATTATTAATAAAGACCCAGGACGATGGCTACGTCCTCTGAACGTACATATTATCCAGTCACTCAGCAGTGTAGCGCAATCATTTTCATTCCAAATCAGGGCATTCTCTACAAAATAGCCCCGTTATCCCAGCCTCAGGTTGCCTGTGTCCACCAAGGACAATAAGAGAACCCGAGAATGGAAGCGCTGGAAGGGGCGCTGGAGGTGACCCAGCTCAGTCCCCTGTCCGGGTGGGAGTCCACACGACATCGTCCCTGACAAGCGGCCATCCGCCCTCTGTTTAACATCTCCAGCAAAGCAGAGTTCACACCTCCCGGGCATCTGCCCCATTGTGAAGCAGCTCTCGCTGTCAGGAATTTTTTCCTGATGTCCAGCCAGCCCCCTGATAATTGAAGCCCGCAGTTTCTTGCCCTGTCTTCTGGAATAGCGGTGAACGATTCTGTCCTCCACATGACAACTCTCCAGATACTGAAAGACAATTGCTGGGCCTCCCCACCCCACAGTCTTTTCTTCCCCTAGGTAAACATACCAGTTCCTCCAACCTTCTCAGTTTCCTTTTTTTTTTTTCCAGCAGCTGCCTCACACTGTTGCCTCATGTTCAGCTTATGATCCACCAAGGCGCCTAGATCCTTCTCGTGTGTGCCACTGCCCAAATGGCCTCTCCCGTTCTATACTCGTGCCTATGACTTTTCCTAGCCAAATGCAAGACTTGACACTTGTTGGAATTCATCTTGCTGGCTCAAGCCCTTTGTTGCAGCTTCCCCCTTGATACTGTCCCCTCTAAGGCCTCCCCTCTCTTAGTGCCATCTGCAAAGCTAATAATTGTTCAGCTTTTTTCTAACACCTCGTCCAAGTCATTTATTTCCTAGAATGGAGCCCTGCATGATGTCCCTGAATGTTTTCTTGGAACGAAGCCATGGAATTACACTTTTTGGGCACATTTGCTCTGTTTCCATCTGATGATAGCATAGTCCAGCCTGTACGTTTCCATCTTCTCTGCTAGCATTTTATCAAATGCTTTACTCGTGTTGGGGTCCGTGGCATTCCAGTGGTCTGCTAAACTGGTTGCTCCTAAACTATTTACTCTACGCAAATGGCATAAGCCCACCAAATCCACTCGGTGAAGTAACTGTCAGCGCCATCTTTTCTGGTGGGTAAGGATTGTCCCACTCCATTGCCCGACTCTCAGGTCTGTGTATTTGCCATGATTTTGGTGTGCATAATAGCATGACCCCGCTGCTGATGGGCTTTGGGACTTGCTCCTTCTGGCCCTGCTGGTGCTGGAGTGCCCAGCTTGCACTTTGGACCTCCACAGCCCTGGAGCTTCAGAGTGGGCACCATGGTGTGCTGCTGTTACCCAGCCTCGGAAACACCATGGCAACACCCTGGAAGTTGAGGGCATTCCAGTATTCTCAGTGTTGTGACCAGAGTGCCCAAACTTGGGGCCTCCTTGCAGACTGAGGGACCTCCAGATCTGTGGCGGTGGTGGTGGACAGCTACCCCCAAGTCCCTTTTCATGTGTCCAGAGGTCTCCAGCTGCAGTGGGGATGGAGGGCAATACTAGTGCAGCACTTGCCTTGTCACAAGCGGGCAAGGGCTTGTGAAAGGCTCCCGCAATCTGGGGACAGCTAAGGGAGGTTCAGAGATTCCGGCCACATGGAAGGACTGGGGGGGAGGTCACGGTAAGAAGGGCGAGAAGGTCTTTCGGGAACTCCGTGGGAACAGAGTGGGAGGCACCTCCTGCTGCAGCCCTGGACCAAGTGGCTCAGGCCTGATGCCCCCGGCGTGGAAGCGCTTCGGCCTCTGCGAAGGGGAGGAAGCTGGAAGAACCTCCTCTGCCAAGATCGCCCCAAAGCGCGTCAAGGGCAGCCACCTCATTTCAGCAGAGCAAACCAGGCTCTTCAAAGCAAACCTGCTGCTTCATGCAGGCCCATGGTTATAAAAATTAATAAACCTCTTAGTGCCCATCCTTGCCAGCGATCCCCTAATCAGTGTTGATCGCAGCTAACTCCAAATCTGAATGTATCTTTTGTAGTCTGGTAGAACGGTTCCATAAGATTTCCACAAATCTTTTTTTAGCAGTGAAAACTGATCACCTCTGCACATCTCTGAATTTTGGAAGGAGATTTCCACTGAAGGAGTAACAGTACCTGCAAATGTCATTACATTCTGCCTACAAACAGATTACAGCATCTTCCTTGTTTTAGTATAACAGGATTTAGTGAATTGGAAAAAAAAAAAGTTGGAGAGGTTTCATTCTTTCAGAAGGGCTATGTGCTTGCTAATGGTATCATCTTTAATTTATTCATCATTATGTTTGTATTTATGACTCTGCATGTATGACATGCAGCGTTTCTGGCCAAAGGGTGGACATCTGAGTAAATCTGTTGCCAGAAAGAGCAATAACCCATTAGCAACAGCCCGGGCACCATCCATACGCAGAGAGTAGATGAGGACGCTTTCGAAGTTGCTCACGCGGAAGGTTCAACATCTCTGCAAATTGTGTACCTCCTACACAGATAGGGTTTCGAAAGCTATTCTAACAGGCGGGGGTGCGCCAGGATCTCCTGCGCGTCCAGCTTTGCTGAGCTGGAGCTCTTGGCCATCCCGACCAATGGGGTCCCAGTGCTTCTCCAGCAGTGGGGAGAAGACGGCAGCAAAGGCCAGGGAGGAGAAGCGGGATGAGATGTGGTACGAGCACCATCCTCACAGCTGCCCAGCTGGTGAAGAAACAGGGTCTCTATGCTGGGACTTACCAACCCTAGAAAAATGAGAGAAAACAGCTTAGGGAATTCCACATTTCTGCCTGTAAAAAGGCCCCTTAAAATCATTTCATTATAAGGCAATAGGTTTATATTTGATCTAAGCACATGGAGTTAATTTGGCATATGGGGTAATATGCGATTGGATTTGCTAAAAGTTGGCAAAAACACAAATGTCATGGTTAATTTTTTTGTCCCTAGTTGATCTGCATTCAAAGTAGCACACTGAGGATTGTAACTCCAAACCTTGAAAATTAATTAGCTGGTATATTAATTTTCAGAAATGGTAGTAAAGGAAACGGTTCCTAACACGGGCAAGTGAATGCTTAGGAAGATTCTAAATTTAGCAAAGAGGGTATCTAACAGTTGGTTTAAAATTACCCTGGGAAAAAGCCATAATGGTTCCAATTGTCTTTTGTAGGACTAATGGCTGTCGCAAGACTTGCTCTTCACAATGAGTGACATGCACTGTCTTGCACAAGGGTAAGTCACCACCCGAGACGGCCACGTCAGTTCCCAGCTTGGGGGTCGGTGCGTGCCGAGAGTCAGCCTGAGCTGGCTGCTTTGAGAAACGCTCAACAGAAGACCTGTCAGTGAAGAAGACCTGCATTTAACCAGAAATACAGTGGGCTTCTTTGCGGGACACTTCTACACTGTGAATAGGGTTTTTGAGAGAAGCCATAGAAGGATAAGTCATTAGAAAGGACAGGGCACCTCTGTAGGTGGAACTTGTCTTGCGTGAAACAAAAGTGTGCTCTAAATGGTTTGCACTTACTAAAGGAACCAGTGTGCTGTCCCTTTGTGAGTCACGTGATCCTGGAAAAAGCACTCCATTGTACATGCATAGTGTGGACCACCATTTATTCACTCTAGTTGTCTCTGTCAGAACCATAGAGGATCCACATAAGTTGGCTTCATACCATAACTTAAACTGTGGAGTCCTTGGGGTTCTCTGAGCTTGGTTGTTTTGTTTTGCAAGAAAACAACCAAGCTCAGAGAACCCCAAGGA